AAGGAATAGTGATATAGTCCCAAAGCTTGATTGTGAAAGCTTAATCAACTGTTGTTGGAGTCGAACTTATTGAGAAAAGTGGAGAGTGTTCTATCACACCTGACTTCAGTCTTGTATAAGATGGACATCTCTTGGGAGTCAAGAAAGTTAGTGGCTCACTCCAAAATTTTCATTCTCTGATCTGCTCTTACATCCTGGTCCAGGGTAATCACCAGAATACTGATAATGGGGGAATTCAGTGATGGTAATGCCATTGAATATCAAGAGATTTTTTTTCTTTCGAAGATGTGCATTGCTTGGCACTTGTATGCCATGAATATTGTTTGTTATTAATCAGACCAAGTCTGAATGTTGCCCAGGTTTTGCTGAACATATATATATATTTATATATATTGACTGATTTAGGATCTGAAAATTGTGCAATCATCAGCAAACATTCCTCTTTTTGACCATATGACAGATGGAAAGTTATTGATGAAGTAGCTAAATATTTTGGGCCAAGGATGTTACTCTTAGGAACTCCCTTGTCCCAACTTGAATTTGTAACTTTCCCTAGTCTCTCTCCTTACTCCCACTCATGTCTTTTCACAAAGCAACAGGTAAGGAACAAAGACCTATTTCCAAATCAGGATATTGTGCGACATGAAGAGGAACTTGCAGGCAGCGGTGTTCCCATGAACATGGTATCGCCGTTCTTCCCTCTGATTTGCAAGATACTGTCAATGGAGACTATCCACTGTACCTTGTAGAAGGTATGTCTTGCTGCAATTTTATGCCAGATGTGGAGGAAATTAATGTTTAATGTAGTGGGATGGGATGCCAATGAAGCCGTCTGCTTTTTCTTGGATGATGTTAAGCTTTTTGATTGTTATCTAAGTGATACCTATCCACCCCAAATGAATGATGTTGCCTTCTGCTTTGTAGGTGAATTGGCTTTGGGGAGTCAGCAGGCGAGTTAGTTGTTACAGAATTTCCAGCTTTTGACCTGCACTTTAGGCAGAAGTGTTTATGTGGTTTGCCCAAGTAGGTTTCAGGATGCTTATGGTAGGAAATTCAGCAATTGTAGTGCCATTGAATGTCAAGCGAAGATGACTAGAGACCCTCTTGTTGAAGATGGTCATTAGCTGCTACTCAGGTAGCGCAAGTATTACTTGCCATTTATTAGTCCAAGCTTGAAAGTTGCCCAGGATTGGTTGTATGAAGGTAAAGACTGCTTATCTATGGATTTAGAAATGGTACTGAAGACATACAATCAGTGAACATCCAAACTTCTGACTGTACTGTTGAAGCATGGTCTTTGACAATTTACTTGAAGTTGGTTAGGATATTGCTCTGAGGAACACCTGCAGCAGTATACTAGGCTTAAGTGACTGGCCTCCAAAAAACTATAACAATCATTCTTTTTGCTCAATAAAAACCGAAAGAACCGCAGATACTTTAAATCGGGAATTAAAACAGAAGTCGCTGGAAAAGCTCAGCAGGTCTGGCAGCATGTGTGAAGAAAAGGTCAGAGTTAACATTTTGGGTTCGGTGACCCTTCCTCAGAACTGATGGAGGGGTCACCAGGCCCAAAACGTTAACTGACATTTTCTTCACAGATGCTGCCAGACGTGCTTGGGTTTTCCAGCAACTTCTGTTTTTGTTCCACTCTTTTTGCTCAGTTTGGCTACAACAAGGTTTTGTAATGGTAGTAAACACATGGAGGAGTCCAAAATGAATCATGTAGAGCATCCACTCGCATTTCTAGGTGAACATGATTGCAAACCTTATAATCTTTCATTGAGGATAGATATGCTCCTCTTTTTAGTTATTTAATTGCCCATTCCCATTCAAGACTAAATGTAGCAAGGATATTGAGCTGATCCATAGGTTGTGGGATTTGTTAACTCTGTTGCATGCTGTTCCTCATGTTTAGCATGTTTGTAGTGCTGTGATAACCAAAAGCATAAATTATACCTTCAACAAACTACAGCTACTACTCTCACAATACTTGTTCTGTACACAAAGCAAAAAAGGTCATATAGTTCAGTATGAACTATGCCACAGGAGGTCTACTACTATAGATAAAGTAAAATTTTAAGTCTATAACATATCCTCACAATATACCTAGCGCAAAATACAGTGACAGCAGATTGGCCCTCATGAAAATGACCATGTTTTCATTTCTCTACTTTTTCTTTCCCTTTCTAAAGGTTCCACTCATCAGCTGTCTACCCAATTCCTTCACTACTCAATGAAATATCCTTTCTTCTATCCCCCTTTAGCCTCTTTATCCAAATGATTCCTACTCTGAGCACATTAAACTTTTAATTAAAAGTCATTACTTACTACACCCCACATGGGCTTTGTTGACATTTCTGTTTTCCTCAACTTCTCCCTCAATATTGACTTACTACTTAAAATATGTTCATGTTCACTTGATCACATCATTACAGCCAAGATCTCAGATCTTTGTTTTATTCTATGCATCCTACTGCCGTTTCTCACCTCTGCGTCCTCAGTTTACAAACTGATAACCTATCTCTCAAGTAATTTGACGAATGCCAGTTACTTAATCTATACACGCAAAGAGCAGCACCATAGATTTCCCTTTAGACCTTTTGTATTTTCATCTCCTTAGAAAACTACAAAGTCATCAACCACCATCACTTTACCATTGCAACACTTAACACTGTGATGTTAAGTCAGTGGTCCATAAGCTTGAATGCATGTTGCAAGCCACAGGTATTACTATCCATTGTCAGATGATTTGATTGCTTCAAGCAGTACTGTATTGCTGCTCCTTCTTCTTGGTTAAAAGTTTAAATGAACAATAGTAGTCTTTACAGGTCTAATTATTAAAACAAATAAAAGCAGTATACATTTAAAATCACTGTGCACAATTTAATGATTTAGTGCAGATTGGAAGCAAATTCTCCAGATCAATTTCTGCAATTTTCAATGATTCAAGTCAAAAGCCACTTTAGACTTGGTTTGGCGTAAGTAATTTTTGACACTTTTTAAAAATCAAATGGATATAAAAATTCTGTTTACCCATACAGGAATGCATTGAATTTATCAAATGAACTCTTCATAAGTTCCTATTCATTAGTTTGAAGAGAAATACTATTATTGATTATGCAAAGTGTAAATTAGCAATAAATTACCTACAAACCAAAGTGCAACAAGGCTTCAAATTAAAGTCTCATAAATATGTTGCAAGGCTCTGTCTTATAAGAACAAAATCAGCTCCCCTGAGCCTGCAGTGAAAAGAAAATGGATGCAGTGCTTATTTGCAAGAGGCTTATCTCTCATGCCAAACGTGACTACAATAAAGAAACAAGCTTAGCCTATTATTGAAGTCCACAATAATAGCCTGACATGCAATTGTTCTTCTTGTCAACGTATGTAGATTAACTAATCTATTTGAGAAAAATAAATACTACAATTGACATTAATAATATTAAACATCTTAAAAGTACACCCTAGAAAGCAGATATTGTTGGCGTACAGGTCAATATAATGAACATATAATTCATTCCCAACATGACTTTCTTCAGGGACTATGTCATATCTCAATTCTGATTTGTTTGATTCAGTGTGGATTAGCTTATTGATTGTTTATTCTTCTATTTATCTGTACAAACAGGCAATTAATGCCTTGTTGTTTAAATAAAAAAAACTGAGGCTTCTTGTCCACTGGCAGTATTAGCAGCTGGAAAATGTTTTTCTGGGAAGTACACCAACAGGTTTTCTAAAATCCTACAGCAAAAGGTCATTGGTGATTTGTTCAGAATGAACTTTTCAAAATTATGCTAAAATCAGATAGTGATACTCTGCTGACTAAATGGATCTGAAAAGTTCCTCTGTTCAATAGTTGGAAAAATTACATCTTCCAAATTTGTTGATGATAGAGCCAACATTTTTCATTTCTATTACCTACTGTGGCAAGGATAGAAAAAATAGAAAAGTGAGAAAGGCTTCTACATTTTTTTGTTGTTAAGCAGGCAAAATACTGAGTAAATAGCCCAATGAACTTGGATTGTTTTGTAATATTAGATTGACTACTTATTGGAACGTTTTTGAAGGCTATTTATTTTTGCATACAGATTCTACATTTACATACAGTAAATGTGCCCTTGCTGTCAATGATGATGTTCCTTCGGAGATGGAAGGCAGCTTCTCTGGAGAAAGATCTTCCGCTTGATCACACAAAAACAGTTTCAACACAGCAGTATTCAATTAGCACACACACTTCTCGTTACCCATTGATCTATGCATCTGTGTGTTCAGCCTCAAATCCAAATCAGCTTTACCCCATTGACTCATTGGGTCTGATTGCATGGTCTTTTGCAGTAAACAGAGATTCATACTGCAATGATATCTGCGTTTTGTCATCTGAAGGTAAGTCTATTTCCCTGGACCCCACAGATAATGAGGATTTGATATAATAGCCTGCAAAGGTCAGAAGGTTTTTATAACCTGTCCAGTTGAGTTTGGTCTAGTATACAACCTTCTTCACTGTGGGAGGCTTGAGATAGTGCAGGTATACAGTAAAAACATCTTTGGAATAGAACAAATTTTATTCTCTGTCTTCAAACATAATTTTGTTAAAGCAATATTCAGCAGTAAACGAAAAGACTGCATCACTTGGAAGAATTGCATTAGCCTTAAACTTACAGAAAAAGCTGATTTAAACAGAATTTGGTTAACATTTAGGAGGCTAAACTGCAGTGATTCAAACTCTTTCCAATTCACTAAAAATGCAGACAGAGCCTTCAAAACAAACCTGAAGCCAGAAGCAAATGGGGCATTTCTACTAAAACTATACAGCAGCTCATTACACATTAAAATGGTGAGAGAAGTTTAATATCATTTTTGATTCTCTCCAGAACTGACCAGGATATTTAAGCATTCAAAGACGAAGATTGTTGGTTACATAAACTCTGTGGACAGCTAATTTTCATGCTCTATCTTTGGAAATCTTGTTGAATTCTAAGGCAACAGACATTTTATCTTACTTTTGAAGATGTGGAGTCACATTCTTGACAAATCCAACCATAGCCAGTCTGTTTAGGAGACTTCTTCAGTGGTGGGTCAAGGCAGCCAAAGTGGTAACAGAGTCTACATTCGTCACATCTAAACAGGAAAATAAATTTCAGATAAAGTTAGCATTATGATCCAAAGAATTAAATCTATATATTATGTAATAGGAGGCTCTTGTCCAGATGGTTGCACAAACAACATTTTGGAGTGGAGACAGAAAGTAACAAGTTTATGAAACTATGACAGCCGTTAACTACTCCTCTCCTCCACCTACCCTATCCTATCCTGGGTCCATCCTTGCCAATGAAATCTTCAAGGTGAAGAACCTGAGTCAATTCTTACTTTAAGAATCTGGGATGTGAATAACTGCTTCACCCTTCATGAACACCAAATCAATGCTGGAAACATTTAGCAGATCAAACAGCTATGGAGAAACAGTTAACTCTGTTTCTCTCTCCACAGATGCAGCTTGATTTGCTGAATGCTTCCAATCTATACAATTATTTCAGATTTTCAGCATCCACACGATTTGGTTTTTGGTTAAAATCAATTTTCGGCCTTCTAAAGGAACTAAGTTGATGTAAACTTCACTTTATAGGTTTACACCAGAAAACATGGTGACTCAGTAAAATGGAGATGAGACCAATTCTGTTAAATCATTATCTCTAAGATGCAAAAATAATGCTGGACCACTGTGCCATATTATGTAGATGTGGACTGAATTTCAGAGTATGGAGATCTTGAATACATACTATTTGCTTATTTTCTTTAATACTGTTCATTTGCCATTGCATGTAATTAAATATATATTAAACAGTTCATACTATTCTAGGTATTGATAACTCAATGTGTGTATACAACTGTTGTTTTGAATGGACAGAGTACTTAACTAATAAGTCACTTTCAATCTTTCAATGATTTACATCTGGCACAAACTTTGTGCAGATGGTATAAGCCTGACAGATTCCAAGGAAACTGCATTCTGAGTATACAAATAGAAATGTCACAGATTGCAAGCATCACAGATTGTCTTCTATTCCGATGTTTCATAAAGACGACAGCCTGCACCACTGGAACACAGGAATACAGAAACAAGAGTAGGCCATTCAACTTGTCAAGCCTGGCTTGCCATTGAACTATTCACATTAACCTGGAACTATATTAAAACTAATTAACCATTTAATATTACCATGTGGAATTCTGTCATCTTGGCAAGGCCCGTAGAAAAGTGAATAGATCTGTGACCTATTTAGGACACATACTAATTTCAAAATTGAAACAGCTAATATTGCTTTATCAATCTGCTTCTCCTAAAATAATGTCTTTAAACATGCTACATGAATACCAGCATAGAAAGGTGTAACATTTATTTTTGTATGTTGAAGAGTGACAGTACAGTAACTGCAGTGATTTGGGCAGATTTAATTTCCTAACATGAAACAGCTCATGTATTCATTACTAAGTTAAATGGTATTTCACAGACATTATCTTTTAATTAAACACATTTTCAAGAACCTACATTATTTTCCACTTGATAAACTCTAGAGATACAAGGTAAAGTTGCCATAGTCCTACCAGTCAAAGGGTTGTTCTTTCATTCAAGAGTTTGATGACCAATGGTGGTTTAACCAGAGGGTCACGCTGTTGGCATCGTAAACCGGCTGTCTAGCCAAATAGTTAACTGACTCTATAGTGCTTTGAATTACTCACAGCTAACTGTATTTAAAAAACAACCTCAGAATTAAACATTATGGAAAATAGAATGTCCTCAAATAACATTCTAAAAGGATAGTTTAATGAAGCAGCGTTAATCTTTGTGACTAAATTAGTCACGTATTGAAAACTGCAGAGAGAGATAAAATTTGTCTATCCTCTGCTTATAAAACGATACCTATACTCTTCTATACTTAAGTGACCTTAATACTTCCAATTCACTTTACTCTTCTGGTGTACTATTTCTTGTCCAGGCCAATAAAAAAAAAATTCAGAACAATGAGCAGTATGTTATGTGCTAATATCAAGTGATAATTTTGATTTTGCAATATAATCAGGTAACAGACAACTGGTAAGAAATCAATCATATTTTACTTAATAAAAACCATGATGTCAAATTCATTAGTTCTTAGACAGTCTCAGTCTCATCAGCTCACCTGCAAAACAGAGTGAAATCTTGGTAGAAAGACATTGATTCCACTAAGGACCTACTGAGCATATCCATGACATACATGTCATATTAGCTTATTCATGTGAAGGAAAAAAAAAGCTGACCAATTGTCAACGGAAATGGTTTTCAGTTATTCATTGCTTAAAAATCACAGCATCAATTGATTAGGTGAATCAGATCTTTCCAAAATTTCTATATGAAAATGATAAAATATGTAGAAATATGGTGGCATTGTGGTAATGTCACTGGACTAGTAATCCAGAGGCACTGACTAATGTGCCAGAGATATGGGGTCAAGCCACTCAGTTCAATGGTCATCTTCTTCTTTGGCAGTCCCTTGGGACAAAGGATGACTTCCACTCCAGAACTGAAGGTCCTCAACTGCCCAAATAGTTCAATGGTGGATTTGCACATGCTGACACAGATGGGGATTAGGGATGCTTCCCAGGCTGGGTGGGTAGGATGTTCAGGTTCTGCATGATCTTCTTGCTGTCTACACTTTGACTCCATCTGGGCCTGTCAGAGAGGCTGGAAATGGTTGGCACTGTCGAAACTACAACTTTCCAGCTTGGCAGTCTAAGACAGGAATTTCTTGCGTGTCAGTGAGGACAGTGCATTTTCTTTAAGGGAGGCTCCATAAATATTCTTGAAGCGTTTCTCTGCCACCAGTAAGCACTTGCCACGATGAAGCTTGGATTGGGGAGTTTGTTTTGAAAGTCTTCTGTGAAGCATGTGAATTTTTAAGCTTGCCCAACCCAGCTGATCAATCGTAATCGATGCCTTGATACTGGAGACATGGCTTGAGACAGGACACCGATACTGGAGCATCTATTTTACTCGTGATCTGCACATTTTGTGGAGGTATTGTGGTAGCAATTCTCTTGGGATTTGAGGTGCCTGCAATACATTGTTCATGTCATCAATGCACACGGGAGGGCAGGAAACACTGCTGCCTGGTAGCCCATGAACTTCGTACCAGGTTTGAGGTCAATGACATCAAACAATCTCAGCCAGTCAAAAGCTGAACTCTCACACCGCAGATGATATCGAAGCTCATTGTCAACATTGGTTCTTGTAGAAAGGTGGCTTGCAAGTTTTATAAATTAATCATACTGACCAGTGGCTCACCATGGACTGTGATTATGAACACTGCACAGCCATTTAATAAGGCCCCTTCTCTCATGCACCTGAAACCCAAGCCTTGAGTCAGTGTTGATGTCTTCACTTAAGTGTGTGTACATGCAAGTGTTGTCTATCTACTGTAGCTTGATGAGAGATTGGGATGATCTTGGATTTATTCTGCAGTCAACGTAGTTCGAACAGCTTCTCACTTACCCAATAGATAAGTTCTATTTCAGTAGGTGGCTTCACAGATACGTAGTGGTGTGCCAAAGTAGGTGGAGAAGGATGCTGGTGCAATGACACAGCCTTGCTTGAGAAAGCTTGCACTTATATGGGCCTGTGTTGATGTGTTGTTGAGGATTATGATTCGCAGTGTCATGCAGCAGGTAGAGGATAATGATAAATTTCTGCAGTCAGCCAAGCTTTCTTGCTTTTCATGTTTATACTTCATATTTCCAATTTAAGACTTTAGCTTTTGTAGCCACTTTTGATACTTGTTCTTTGGGACAATGGCCTCATTTTGATCATCAGAACTTATATTCATGAGACAAATGGTCAATTGCAACATAGCTATGCTACATTTTATTATGAGATTCTTGCTTTCTCATGACTTTCTATAACAACTTTACAATCTGCAAATGTGATCCATACCTAGAAAACTTGAAAACTGTACCCAAACAATCTGACCCCCATGCTGTACAATTATTTTCTCACCCTTACCAATAGCTTTTCCTGGGATTCTACACTTTTAAGCCCCTCCATATACAATAAACCATGGTTCCCTGATTAAAACTTGTTTCCAATGGCATTACATTACATCGGTGGCTTGTCAAAATCTTTGAGACTTAGGCTTTCATTGAAACCAATCTGCTTCCAGCAGCATGTTCAAATGCTCAAAATAGGTAGACCTTATTGAATTACCATCCCAATCTGGCATCTGATCATTTATTACTGACAGAGCATGAGGATTTCTGACAAAAAAATAATTGATACGGATTATGGCCTCTGACCATTTGCAGTGTGCATTAACATGTATGCTACTGTAGAAGATAATGTATAATTGTGGCAGATCAGCCAAACTGTATGAACCATTTTGTCTATTATGTAATTTCCTTTACACATGCCATTGCTAAAAGGGCTTTCTACTGCTGTGTTCATAATAATTATACTCAAATTTGCACACACTCCTCAAACTTTATGGTTAGCAAATTCACCCCCTATAATTAGTGAGAAACTTTGCTGGTGATATACAAGCTTTAAGATGAGTTAATTAGTGGCTGATTTAGTCTGGATATCTGAATTTTCAGTTGCTGTTTCTCGGAGTAAAAACAGAGGCCTGCCTCAGAGGTGTCTTGTATGCATTGGGAGCTGTTCAGTGCAAGAGTCTCAAGGGTTAATGTTTATTTATGAGATCTGGTTTATCTTTTTATTTAGTAATTAAATATTCCACTTTAAGTTAAGAAAAGAGAAGTTTTATTGCAGCCTGAAATAAGGGGTATACAAGATCCAAAATAAATTTCAGCATGTTATTAGTAGATTGTTTAATCCATTATCTAAAGCTAGAGTCAGTTATTTTCAGCAAAAATAAAACAAGGCTTCCCTCAGTGATACTTTAGTTGCAAGTTTGTAAATTGGGAGATTGAGTACAAGGGAGTGGCAGGGACGGGGAGGTGCTCATGTTCCCTTCTTTTAGTCTTCTGTAGTTTGTTCTTAATTTGGCTCAGTGGAAGAAGCTGACCCGTGAGTACTGGCACATTTTCTACAATTCTAGTTTAACAACTGGCTTTTAAGGTTATAGGATGACATATCAGGTTGGCCAAGTGTGGTATGTGTGAAGTTATGGACACACTGTGTCCCCCAGATAAATGCATCAACAGGAAATGTTACCCAATTCACAAGCTTGAGCTCTATGTAGAGTTACAGTTGTGCATCATGAGGGAAAGGACTATGTGGTAGCAGGTTTAGGGAGGTGGTCACACCACAAATTACCAAGAAAATGGCTGGCTGCCAGGTAATCGAAGAAAACTAGTCATCCAGTACAGGAGTGCACTGCGTATATGTTGCTTTCTAATCTGTGTACTATTTTGGATATTGGTGAGGGTCA